GGGCCCTCATAATCAGAAGCAATGTGACTGTTTCTTTAACCAATCAGACTTCAAATTCACCTCAGAGGGCCGGCTAGCTGGCCTTCAATAAAGTGCATTTATCTATCCTCTGATTGGGTGCTCAGAACAAGCCAAGTTCAACAAGTAAGAACGTCTGTGACGATCTGCACAATAATTGATTTGAGTACATTTGAGTAGGTATGATGTATTTGATTTGAATGTATTTGACCCTCTTTTACCGAACGCAAGTCTAGCGCAAAACCCCCGTCTAACTGTGCGCATGAGTGGAGTTTTCTTCCTGTTGGTATTTTAGTGTAAATGCAGGCAGAAATGGGGGGGTGTGCCGTTGTGGGAATGAACATAGTGGACTTGATTTACGGCCAAACGAAGCCGCTCTTCTCATTCCCTTTGAATTCAGTACAGAAGAGCTGTCCTGTCTACATTAGAGGGTGACAAGAGACTGGGTTTTCCCTCCAGTCTCATCCCAATCTCACAGAAAATATCCCATCCTGTCCCAGTCCCAGATCATCGTAAATTACAAAAAAAATCCTGCCCCGTCCCGCCCCAGTGAAAATGATTCCCACTCCCGGACGGCTCCCATGTTATTAAAATTAAAACACAAACAAACAAACAACTAAGGTTTTATTTTACTGATCTATTGAACAGTTTGTGGCCCCTTTCTCCTCATGGACTCTTACTATTTTGCAGAGCAGTTTTTTTCCGAATGCAGGGCACACATATCAGTGGAGCGCAAAATCTGTCTGTCTGTACCTCAATCAAAATCAGCAAAATCCCGTTACACCACCTGTGCCACAACTTAGACCTGCTTTTATCTGGTCTTAGATCGAGTCTACTTTCTGCTCCCAAATTATCAGGTGTGCCAGAAGCCTGGAATAATAAATGCCCTGGACTCACTGGAATGCCCATCATACCCCAGCAAGGTCTGCCAAATTTCCAAACACAGTAAACTAGACTTTTACACTGAGCACATTGTGTACCTGTCGCTGGCATTTTATCATGTTTTTAAATAAATGTCACTTCTAAATCGCTCCAGATGATGTACGTGGCACAGTTGCATGTAGTATCATATTGACGGATTGCATCATAATAGTGGTGGTATGAAGAGGTGGATTAAGTCAGATAAAGCCCAGATACCAAAAGCCTGGCCTGTCACTCTAATAGTCACATACTCAAAGAAGTGGGGCTACTTATACTTTTGAAAAATATCGGTAATTTGTGGTCACTTTTTCTTTATATATTTTTGACTTTTAAAGAAGAATCAGCCCAGGAAGTTGCGTGAAATAAACATTGAGACTTGAGCGTCACCATAGATGTTATCACTTGTCAAATTTAGCCGAACTGGTTGTGTTTGTTTTACCGAAGTTCATTTCTTTTTACACGCGACACGTGACAATTGTTGATGTCGAGATATGAATCACCTTTCCACTTTGTCACTCAAGTTTACTTTGATTGTTTTTATGTGTGTACGTATATTAACAGTGTTTACTTTATTTTTACATTTGTGTGGCAGCTAAGAATGTTGAACTGTTACTTAAAACAGTTAATGAAGATTTTATGATTGCCACAGTTTGCATGTGCAACAGTTTATTTCCTGTGGGGAAATCTAAATCCCCAACACTTGGAAGTTGACCAGCATTCCAGAAGAGATTGCATTACACCCACGGTTCTGCGATTTGGCATGCATAGTCTTGAAGTATGAATTTGGTTTTTGAAGTTATTGTTTGCTCATCGTAATTTAGTTGGCCAAACCAAAACTGACCAATCCCCCTAAACATTAGCAAACAAAGTCCTGTAATGTACACAACAAACCTAAGTAGCATGTCCTAACTCTTCACATTAAAAAATATTTAACTTGTACAACTGTTTGGAGCTATTACCTGAGAAATCAATTCATCTACAGGACACCAGGTGAAAAACAGGCGCTTCAGCGAGAGGTAGAGTAGAGTATGAGGCTAGTGGAGTTATGTTGGAATTACAGCGTTGTATTTTTGGTCAGCCGGCATGAAGAGATAAGGATACAACTGGGAGTGAGTACAGCGTGTGTTTCTTTAAGAGGATACTTGAAGGACCGAGTGGGAGAATCAGGTCAGCGCTTAAACAGAGGCCAGGAAAGGCTGCAAAGGCTCTCACAGCCACTCACAACATGACGTTTTGTGTGTGTGTGTGTGTGTGTGTGTGTGTGTGTGTGTGTGTGTGTGTGTGTGTGTGTGTGTGTGCGCGTGTGTGCGTGTGTGCGCGGACGCGCATACGTGTATACACTTCACTGTAAGTGTACACTCCTGTACACTGGCCTATTTTCTCTCTCAGGCCAAATTTCATTGGGCATTTTCATAGCAGTTAGAAAGGGGCATTTGTGCCATTGTGGGAGTGAACCCAGCCGACTTGCTTCCTGGCCAATGGAAGCAGCTTCTTTCATTCCCTTTAAATTCAGTCCAGTAGAGGCACCCGCTCTACATGACGGAAGGATAAACTTACCCAGTCCATTATATCGAGCTTTCACAACCGCTGCAGTTGTAACAAAGCGCTTTACAGAACATTTAAAATACTATTTCCAAGAAATCAGAATATTGAGCCATACGGAAGGCGCATCGGATTATAAGGCGCGCATTGTCGGCTTTTGAGGAAATGGAATGCTTTTAGGTGCGCCTTATAGAGCGTAAAATACGGTAGCCTCAAATTAAACCTGAACGTCTTGTTTGTTTTATTTCAAATCCATTGTGGTGGCATTAAGAGTCAAAAAGATAAGAATTGTGAGTGTCCATGTGCCATGGATGAAGAGGTGAAGAAGTTTTTTTTTTAAATGAGCTGAGCTCATTTACGTACAGTATGATTATCATCAGGTTGATAGTTACAATATGCATAATAATCCCTCTGTCCCTGTTGCAACTGAATCATGACACATCTTAGTCTAAGACAGGGGTGTCAAACATACGGCCCGCGGGCCGGATCCGGCCCGCAAAGGAGTTTAATCCGGCCCGCGAGATGATTATGTAGAGCATGGTGTCAAACATACGGCCCGCGGGCCGGAACCGGCCCGCAAGGAGGTTCAATTAGGCCCGCAGGATAATTTAAAAGTGAAAAAAATGCATTAAAGACAGAATTAATATTTTTAATAAGGTGCAATTCATTGAGTATCCGCAAGGGGACACTGTTTTGATCAGAGAAGAAGACAACAGCAGCCTCAGTCCGTCACTGTGACAGACCCATGACAGCAGACGCTATCAATAGCACTCTCACATTTACACATTTAATAGCACTCTCCTTAGTTTGTAAGATTACATTTAGATTTTATATGCACGTGTAAATGGTTTAAAACTTCCTTTCTTTATGAATCTCGTTTAATCTTAAAGTGCATTACTATATTTTTCAAAACCAATTACTTGTTAAAGTTTGTACAATCAGTGGGATCAGTTGCAATGCATATATGTGAATTATAAAAGTAAATTGCACATTTGTCGAAGGAAATGTAAGGTGCTTCATGAAATGTTTTGTAAAAGGTATGTTCATTTAATTTCAACATTTTCCTAATGTTCTTGTGCTTCTTTATACCAAAACAAAGGAAAAAGACATTGTTTTGGTTATTTATAGCAAAGTATGGTATCATTTTAATGGTCCGGCCCACTTGACATCTACCAAGGCCGTATGTGGCCCACCATGTGAAATGAGTTTGACACCCCTGGTCTAAGACATATTTTATAAATTGAGCATTTTATTGAGTGTCATGATTCGATCGGTGTTTTCTGTGGAGCCAAGACACCTATTTTCAACCACTTTAGTGACAAAGGTACTTCCTCAAAGTGAAATCTGGGCATCCATACAAAGTAGTTGAACATAAAGCTGATACGTATATTTGGAGAGAGGCCATGACTTAAGAGGTGGTTTCACCGGTTGATTATATCTAATGGCATTCAACCGAAGAGCATTTATTTGCTATGCCTGCCACTATATGTCACTGGGATGGATAGAAAAATAAAATCATAGTAATGAATAAAATAGTAACACAATAACAAATATAAAAAATAAATAGGGCGGCCCGGTGATCCAGTGGTTAGCGCGTCGACCTCACAGTGCAGAGGTACAGGGTTCGATTCAGACTCCAGCCTCCCTGTGTGGAGTTTGCATGTTCTCCCTCGGCCTGCGTGGGTTTTCTCCGGGTACTTCGGTTTCCTCCCACATTCCAAAAACATGCATGCCAGGTTAATGGAACACACTAAATTGTCCATAGGTGTGAGTGTGAGCGCGGATGGTTGTTTGTCTCTGTGTGCCCTGCGAATGGCTGGCAATCGGTTCATGGTGTCCCCCGCCTACTGCCCGAAGCCAGCTGGGATAGGCTGCAGCACCCCCGCGACCCTTGTGAGGATAGAGCGGATTGGAAAATGAATGAAAAAATAAATAAGAATAGTATGAACTCGTACTTTCACTTTTGACCAAATTATACACATACTTGATGCAAGAGTCAATGCATGCTTTGTTTTTATATGTAGAAAATAGATGACTACATGCTTCAGATTGAAACTGCATGTGATTATGAATTATACAATCTAATGTGCATTACACTCCAGAGGTCGCACCGTTAATTTTTTTTCCACCCTCGTTTTGTTAATGAACTTTTGAAAGAACTGATTTGAATGTTTCATGATTTTGTGGAACGTGTTGCAACAAAAGCACCTCCTGCATAAAAAGACTCTTTGGGCCAGGGGAGCAATACATTGTGTTTCCTTGTCATACTTTTCACAATGACAGTTGACTTTACTGTACAAATACAGGCGTGCTATGCTAATGGCGCTGAATAAGTGCTCAGCGCTTGAGGCTAATGGCTGCACACAAACAAAAAATGGATTAAAACGAGTCATTGAGGCGTTCTCGTGATGTTCTTCTGAGTGTACCCTCGCCGTCTCCACGGCAACGTGGCAGGGAAAGAGACCGAATGCCGTTGCTGTCCTTCGTTCAGGACAGTAAACTCACTGACTTGCACTCACCTTGCATGCAAAACTTGAGCCCTTTGGGGTCGGTGACGGTATTGCTTGGGATCCTTTCGGGAACCTTCTTGCTCATACGGTTGTAGTTCCGCCGCCTCTTGGTCTCACCCCACAGGTTGGAGCCGCCGTGCATGCTGGGAATGTTGAGCACAGCGATGCCCTCCAAGGAGGTATTGCTCAGGTCCAATATGATGCCGTCGCACTGCAGCACAGAAAGTTAGCAGAAGTATGACTGAGCAGTCATTTTTTGACAGCATCCATGAAAATAAAGCCTACTACCAAGCAAAATGTAGCGGAGGCTTTTTTTTTCCTTCACATTACACTCTGCGATTTGAAATGTGCATTCTGCTACATTGCGATGTCGATTTGAATTCTATTCATGCTTCAGCCCTACTTATGAGTGGCCCAGAACATTTTTCTTCTCATAATTGAAAACAAATTTGGCCCTTATACATCCCTTATACTGTACTTGATACCCTTGGTAGCCATGAGAGTGTTTTTTTTTTTTTTTTTGTAATCCACCACAATTATCAAACAGCAAGCCTTAATGTTGATACAATTTGTATTCACGAAAAACAAAAACCCGCCATTAGTCATTTAATCCACAACCGCAATAATCAATATGATGCTTAATTAATACCTTTCCAATGGCAACATTATCTTTGCAAAGACAGAGTGTTTTTCCACCTCCTATATCGAATCACATTGTTGTATTTGCTTAATTAAGAGTTAGAGGTCGGGAAGGCCTTCAAAATGGAAGACCTTCTTTTATTCCCATATGCTCAGCACTCTTTCGCAGCGTTGACTCACCTCAACCTCAATGCACTCGTTGAGCTTCTTGCAGGTCGCTGCAATGGTCTCGGTGGTGCCGAACTCAAAGTACCATAGCTTGTTCTTCATTCTGACCAGCAAAACAAAAAACGTGATCGATCAAGGACACACGAAGGAACAATTGGAATCCTGCCATCACATATTTTTGTTGTTGTTGACATAGTGAAGCTGTCCACTGCCTTGAGTCATGTCAACAGACTTTCATTACAGCTCGGGGTAATGTGACCCAGCAGGCCAAAACGGCCCAAAAGCAACTTAAAGCTACACAAATCCAACTACTGTGTTCATTTTTCATCCAAACTGTGCGCATACGGTGTCCTCAGTGACCATATTCATGGGGATACTGTGCATACAACTTTGCCAAAGGTGGGGTGTGGGCTGACACACTGCCGGTGGACACCGTAAATCGGGGCAAATACCAACCTGTCAGTCAAAGCAACAAAGAGGCCAGTCAAAAGCGCCTAGCGGACAGACATGCCGTGATGGATGCAGTGTCATTTTTGTCTTCGTTCTCTTATGAATTGGAACAGTTTTGGGAACGAAACATGAGCATTCTTACCTAAGGTAGAGAACAAAGAGCTTGCAGCTCTTCTATAAAAGACAACTTGATCCAAACTTCGACACATTGGGTGCGAAAAGATTCACGGGCGATTCATTTTAAAGTGAATAGCTGGATTCACTGGGATTATTACTCGAGTCACTGTGGTTTGGCTCAGTTCGAGAGGGTATGATGCAATGAGTTTCTTGTCATTTTAAAATATGAATCATCTTGTCAGTACTGTAACTGTGGTGGTTTAAAATATGAATCAACTTGTCAGTGCTGTAACTGTGGCCTTTAACCACCACAGCAGCAAATTCTGCTTGGTGGTTGCAAATCAGAACTGACCTCTTTGTCCCCATTGTGGTAATTCCTTGTCTTCTTCCGATATGATAGTGTGTGTGCGGCATTGTGTAAGAAGGGCTTCAAACAGATGTCAAGGCATATTCCCCAAGGCAAGCTTTCATTCACAACCACAGGCAACAGCAACCTTCCTTGGCATCACTTGCATAAACATACTGTAGCTGGTAAAGTCAGGCCTTCAAAAATAGAAACCCCCAAAAATGTCAAGAAAATCCTGCTCATACCTGGCTTTTTCCTCTTTTACTGGTTCTCCCTCAGTTATAAAAGCTGCATGTTCAGAAAAAGAAGACAATTTGTATGTGTATTGTATGTGGTATGGATCGCCCCAATGCATGTAGCAGCACGGAGGGCCTGTCCTCCGAGGCAAGTTTCTCCTACGGGAGACCAAATAAAAGTCAAATTAAAAAAAAAAAAATCCCCAAAACATAAAAATTCTCATCAATTACCGGTAAATTGATGGAATAATTTTATTTCGTCAGTGCGCTTATCTGTTACGGCAAACAGCTTCTCCTCAAGCTAAAAACCAACTATGAGTGACTCATTGTCATTCAGCGCTAAATCTAGCATGGAGCAGTAAAGTCGACTATTGGACTTAGCTATTCAACCTAAAATGCAGTGTGACGCACTAAGGTACCAATGCCCAGGGGGAAACAACCAGTTATGTGAACCAACGTAACGTTGACCAGGAGAAGCTAACTTTGTGAAGGCTACCCGACTTATGGTCAGGGGGAAGCAACAGTGTCATTGATTTGTGATTTCCAGTACTACGCTACCAATAGTAGCCAAGAGCTTTGTGAACCACTCTGCTAAAAATTACATAGAATGAACCCACAGCTGTGTGAACCACTACACCACCAATAGCCAGGAATAACTTCTTTATTGGTTTGTTTTGGAGAGATACTGACAAAATAATCCATTATAATTTGATAAATCATTGATTTTAAAAGATAGAGCTGAACAGGAACATCCATCCATCCATTTTCTGATCCACTTATCCTCACAAGGTTCGCGGGGGGTGCTGGAGCCTATCCCAGCCGTCTCCGAGCAGTAGGCAGGGAAGACCCTGAACCTGTTGCCAGCCAATCGCAGGTCACACAGAGACGAACAACATCCGCGCTCACACTCACACCTAGGGACAATTTTGAGTGTTCAATCAGCGCGCCATGCATGTTTTTGGAATGTGGGAGGAAACCAGAATACCCGGAGAAAACCCACGCAGGCCCGGGAAGAACATGCAAACTCCACACAGGGAGGCCGCAGCTAGAATTGAACCTCTGCACTGTGAGGTCGGCGCGCTAACCACTGGACCACCGGGCCGCCTGAACAGGAACATAAACAAGTAAAAGAGAGATCATTTAGGCGTACAATATTTTGACGCCAAGTTGGAAATCTCAAAGATTTTGTTCTTACTCTTGGAGTTTTACACGTTGGTATGATTGACTAGCGTCTATGTTGTGTCCCACCTCCCACCTGCAGCCAGGTGTGATCGGTACCTATAGTCCTCCCTGGACAAGTAGTATTGAAAATGAATAGATGATATTAGGTTCATCCTCACACCTTTTTAGGGACAGTGTTTCACCAAGAGTCCAATAATTGAGTGTATGGTCGAGAAGATTGTACCTTTTGGGACACAAATCTCCTCCTTTCAAGTGACCGCTATCATCTTGTCTTCTACCCTATACCACTGATTGAGATTTGTGGCTGATACAGGTCTGACCATAGATGCAATTCCACCAAACATTTTGTTCCACAGCTTCCTGGATCGCTCAAAAAGTACAACCCTACTAATATGGTCTTCTTTTGGTCACTGGACTAGTTGCCATGATCCAAACCCAGAATGGTTCTCCAAATGTTCCCCGGGGTAAAGTTAAGTTTGGTAAAGTTCCTGTGTCGGAAACGTGGTATATTTCATAAATGTTTAGCATGTGTCTTTGAGTTTGAGAATGTTGGTGAATCTACGTCATTCTGATGATTATGATTTTCCCCGCCTGAGTCTGAAACATCTCACCCTCCATTGGTCGCCAAGTGGCATACTGTGCATCTCACCATATATAACACTAATTAGCGCAAAGGCACGCATGACATCAGGCAGTATCACTGTATTGATGCAACAGCTCAGTGTGAGAAGGGCATGTCAGAGCCTGCCACAATGTTCATCACAGAACGTTGTCATTCCAAAAATGACGGTATATTCCTTAGCCCTATTTTATTTTCAATTCCAGCCAATTTGGAGTTTAGTCTGATGCTCTTCTACTGTCTAAAACCACTTTGATACTAAATGGTACAATTCAATTGATCTTGCTTCCGCACTGTTTGGAATGGCAAATCTTGATTTGGCCTGCATTTTCAGCGTGGGGTGCGCATGTTGTCAGCTACGTAACTAGCGTGAGATAATCTGACGACATCATGTAAACGAATTCAACAGAGGAAGTTGACAGCGTAAATGACAATGGAGGTCTTCTTCTTGACTCGTTCTTGACACAAGCTTTTTGTTTTCTTTTGTGTTTTATTTTTTTTTAATCTAGACCATTCTGTCTACCACAACACAACATGACAAAACAGTGACTCAAAAATATACCCTACTGCACTGTTCTACGCACTCAGATGATTCAACGACATTTGCTGTGACATATTCTACAGTCAGACCAAACACAAGTTGAGCGTTTGTCACAGGACGATTACATATAAAGTCAATTCAGTTCGTGCAGGTATTTGTGAATCAGTGCCAGGCGGCATTGATAAGGTGACGAGAAACAGAGCAACCACCCACAAAGTCAAACTCTCGCCCTTTCACTCGCATTTGAAAATAAACAAGTGTAATAATTATTGCGGTCCGTGGGCGCAACACAGCCAACAACACAGCCAAATTCCAATACTGGCAGGAGCCAAGCCAAAGAGGAAGAAGTTGGCGTACCTAGTGAGTATATTTACCTGTTTACAGCTGTTGAACTGTGAACCAAGACAGCATTTAAAATGAGCAGTTATAGCACAACCAACAGCCACCTGATTGACTACCAATGTTCTTTGTTTTTTTGTTTTTGTTTTTTTTTTGTTTTTTTTTTGTGAAAAGGAAAAGGAGAACACCGCATGTGAACCCCCCTCCCCTCCCCCCACTGTAGTTCCTCCACGAAAAAAGGCACACAAGACATGCAGGTCAAAGTGATATTTTGCATTCAGTCTGAACCTAGCAATATACTATACTTGTCATTTATCTGTCAACACAACAGGCTTTCAACAGAATGGCCACCCAAGCCATGAAAATTGCGGGTCTTCCCCCCCCCCCCCCCCCCAACAGGCAGGAAATTCCCAGCTTTAATCAGCAATGTGAAAGGAGCTAAAAGAGTCTCACTTCCCCAAGGAAGCTTAGTCAAAAGGAGTGATTGGGAGCTAACGTGACAACACAATTAGGAACAGTTGCATTGCTCCTTGAGGAAAAGTGTCCTAGCTCATTAAACAATGTCCACTGGAGACGGCCTGAAAAGATGTAATTAACTCACATTCCACAAGCCTCTCATTTCTTCATCTCATCACTATTTATACTCTAGAAGTCGGTGCCAGGTGTTGCTTGCTCCCAGTAACAGCAGCTACTGTAGATGTTTGACTCCCTAACAAAGATTGGGACAGATAACACAAGTAAAGGAAACTGATCTCTTTACATTTACAACCTAAGGAGTTACCTGACCTCAGTGCAGGGACATAATGGTTGGAAGCATGTTGTTGTGAAAACACAAATCAGGGGCTGGAGCAGAGCTATGCCCCCCACCCCATGACTCCCCTTCTCTCCTGATAAACCTCTCCTTTAATCCTCGACATGAGCAGTGACCCCTTGACCACTCTAATTCTCCCCCTCCTCCATCTACTCAGCACTGAAAATAGTATTAACTGACTGTATGGTTGAGATATATATATATATATATATATATGTGTGTGTATGTGTGTGTGTGTGCGTGTGTGTGTGTGTGTGTGTGTGTGTGTGTGTGTGTGTGTGTGTGTGTGTGCTCTCGTGTGTGCGGCTCCCAGTGTTGTCTTTTCTGTGGAAACTGGGTCGAAATGGAGTGTAAAATGTTGCCAACAACTGGTATAGACTGAGAGCAAGTGTCTTCCGTTATTACTTACTATTAAAAAAAAAAAAAAAAAAAAACCTCCTGAGCTACTTCATGCAGTCACAA